AGGAGAACATATCTGTGTGGTCAGAGGGGCCACTTAGTTCCTTTGTAAATTTTCAGGGGTGAGAGGGGAACGGGAAGTAGCGATAAAACCCCTTGCAATTCATTATATCAAGTTAGTACACGTTTGAGGGGATAGGGATCGCACGCAGTGGCTACCATTTTCCGGCGCCTCTGCGCGCAACCTTGAACTTGAAGCAGACGTTCACTACAAGCCTGTGAGAAGACATGGCTGATGTTTTCCTCGGTGAATTTATCGCCAGCCATCGAAACAGCCCCCACTGCTCGTCATTCACAGATTGTTACATGCAGGCTGATAAGATTAAACTGCTCTAGTTGTAGGATAATCAGTAGCACCGGGAGAGGTGCCTAACGCAGTAAAAAATCGATGTCAACTTTGCTGAATTCGTCCTCCAGTGTTGGGATTTGGTGGAGGAAATATTCCAGAAGTAAAAGTGGGTACAACGTCAAGAGAGGATTATATCATTATAATTATTTGGAAGCTGTTATGGTTTTGTATGCAGAATTATAAACAAGATATTGAGTTATTGTCATTTTATTATTGGTAATATTTTCAGCAGCAATATTACGTTCAACCCATAGGGGTTTTAATTTGGCTCTCCTTTAAATAACGGTCGCTAGCTGGAAAGCCGACGGTCGCTTAGTGGGAGTTCACTCCCTTGGTTGCAGTGCAAATACGGACCGTAAAGAGGGAACGAAACAAATGACATACTTACCTATCATCATACGGTTGTGTAGGGTTAGGGGTGGGGTAGGGTTAGGGTAGGGTTAGATGTAATTTCTCCTAAATATGCCAATAGCGCGCGGCTGGTGCCCAATTGATGGCGAATTGTCCGTTTGAGTAGCATCCACAGTCCATCAGTTGTTTGGGTGTGTATGTCACCGTGCGCGATTATTTGGAATTCCTGCGTCAAAATTGTCAACACTAACCCTAACCCTACCCCCTAACCACGCCTATTTATCGGTCATTAAGGCATACAGATCTGCACCAGTCACATCCGTGGCACCTTATAGCACTTTTATATATTGATATATTTACTTTAAAAAAAAAAAAAAACAGATTTCCCCCAGGCGTCAAACAAACACCCAGATCTGGGGGAAACACCCAAGCATTGGCAGCCCTGATGTCGACCTCACTGTTTTGATTCATGACTTGTCCGCTCCGTATTTGAAATGCAGCCAAGGGAGTGAACTCCCACTAAGCGACCGTCGGCTTTCCAGCTAGCGATCGTTATTTAAAGGAGAGCCTTTTAATTTAGATATTCAGTTTTTACCGCTTTTCTGTTTCAATAATTAATTATGTATCAATTATGTTTTGATATATATCTATATTAATAAAAATGTTAATTTTCCGATGTTGTTAGCTAAAAACTCGGAAACTACTGAACCGATGGCTTTCCGGGTCCCCATTGTGACAAGGCCAAAAAAAAAAACAACACTCACTGCCCCTAGCAAGCATGTAGTGAGAGCACTAATTAGGGATGTTTCCTCCAAAGTTGGAGAACCAACAGTCTGCATACAAGTAAACCAGATTTGTAAAATGGATGTGCACACAAGACTCAGGTTCTGGAACCAGACTAGAGTCGAGAAGTGGATGAGCAACTAGAACTTTCTGCCAGAGTTAAAGCCCATGAAGACTTAATTGTCCATAAAAAAAAGGGAGCCAGTACTTACTACAAAGCATCTGTTAAAGTAGTATTGAAAATATGATGCCTTCAAAATGGTGCCAGTACTGCATACTAGGGCTGTCCCGAATAGTGATTTTCAATATTCGGCCGAATAGGAATTGCTGGACCAACTATTCGGCCGAATACGAATAGTGAATAGTGACTCATCATCATCAGGTGCTTTGCCGACTGGCATGGGCGATTATGCCTCGCCACAATCTGCGATCTTCTGCAGCATGTATTAGTTCATGCCATGCTACAAGACTGTCAAGAATCTTCTCTCGCTGTCTTCCTCTATCCCTCCTTCCACATATCTTTTCAGTGGTCACCACATGTTCCATTTTCCTTCATCTTATAACATGGCCGAAAAATGATGACTGTCTATTTCTGATGTCTGTGAGTAGTTGTCTTCGGGCTCCCGCCTCTTTCAAAACCTCTTGGTTGCTTTTTTTTTTGGCTGTCCACGGTATTTTAAGCATTGTTCTGTAAAACCACATTTCTGAGGCCTGAAAAAATGGTAAGGCCTGCCTACCGATTGTCCAGGACTCACATATGTTAAAACTGGATGTATGTAGCAAGCAAGAATTCTTTTTCTAACCTCCAAGGACAAAAATATATTTCATAAGATGTTCTTCATTTTTTAAAATGCAGTTTGTGCCAGTCCTATTCTGTTTCTTATTTCAGTAATGCAGCTTTCATCTGATGTTATCCATGTGCCCAGATACTTAAATTTCTGTACTTGTCCCAAAATAAAAACTTTGACTTTTATTACACATTTAGGAATAATTCTTTTCTTTGATACCACCATTACTTCTGTCTTTCCACTATTCAAATTGGTGCCCATTCTTCCACTTTCGAATAGTGTATAATATAAATCTAAAAAAAAATCCACAATGTCAAATCTACGCTGAAATTTTACTTCACAAAATGTAGTACAGAATAGTAAATATTTAAAAACATTTCACGTTTTGCATCCTTCAGTCAGTCAGTCTGTGGTAACTAACACCTAGGAATGAAAGTATTCTTAGTTTTATAACAAGTAACTAAACCTGTAAATTGTCACTGACAGCTTAGTTAATCCATGAAAGCTGCATTAGCTTTAAAAAAAAACTTTTTTCCAGGTTGTCAGCATTAAGGCAGCTTCTTGTCTCACTGAAAGTATTTCCAGCTGTACCAAACAGACGTTCACTTGGTACACTCTTAGGTGGTGCACAAAGATAACGCTTGACAGTATGAACCAATGTGGGAAATCTCGATTTGTTTTTTTCCATTTTTTTCCACCAGTCCAGAAACTGGTGTAAGGTAACCACTATTCGTATTTGGCCCGACCGCAACTATTCGGCCGAATACCGAATAGTTATTAGGTCCACTATTCGGCCCCGAAGCGAATACGAAGCGAATATTCGGTACAGCCCTACTGCATACCATTGTGTAGCTCCTTCTTTGTTGTCTCTACTCCTGGAATGCCTCCTGGCTTCAGGGGAGGAACAGATTTCTAGAACGGGCCATTCTGTTCGCTTCATTTATAGTACTTTTCAGTGTCTCTGATATTTCTGCGGTCCATCTTCTGCATGCTTGACCTCTGGGTCTGTTACCACTGTATCTGTGCAGTATTGCTCTCTGCGGGGCCCTGTCTGCTGCAAATCTTGTTACATGGTCAAACCATTTGATTTGTTGTCTACCTATAAAGTTCAGTATTGGTTCTGTGCAGATTTTCCTCCTATCATCGTTCCTAAGTCGATCTTTCCTGGTTACACCAAGCATAGTATGTAAACATTTCATTTCTGTTGTGACTATTCTCTTTCTGCCTTCTGAAGACAGTGTCCTTGTTTGACATTGATAACAGAGCATTGGTAAGAATATTGTATACAACAGTGTTCTTTTAGTGTTCATATTCACATGCTTGCATTGAAAAATTGGTGCCATTTGGCCTAAAACTTGATTGGCTTTCTTGCATCTTTGTTGGATTTCTTTATTAATTCTTTCGTCTTCTGAAAAAATGCTCCCCAGCTATGTAAAATCTTTTGCCTGCTTTAACTGGTGTTCATAAATTTTGATACTGGTGGTTCTTACTTTTCTGGAGGATGTCATCACTTCTGTTTTGTTTGCATTGATCTTCATATTGTAGTTGTCGCATTCTGAGTGAAGTCTATTAATATTTTCTTGTAGCTGTACTGCTGTTGGTGCTATAATCGCCTGGTCATCGGCAAAAAACAATTCATATAGTAAGTGTCCTAATTTTTCCCCCTCGCTGATGTTAGCTGATTTGCAAATTTGGTCAATGTATGTGATGAAAAGTAGTGGTGATAGAACGCACCCATGTCTCACTCCAGATCTAATATAGAACCTTTCTGACATTCCTGTATTTGTTCTAAATGCGCATTGACTGTTCCCATACTAACTCTTGCACAATTTAATAAGATGTTTATTTACTCTGTAATAAGTCATTGTGTAGCACCCAAAACATAATTTATAAAAAATTGGTTATGGGACTTTGATGATGATGATTCAGTGTAGCAAGGGTCACAGTGAGAAATACATCGTTCCTACCTAGAAGCCAGATGAACGCAAGATGCAGCACCGATTGTACATCTCTGTTTACCACCACTTGGGCCTTTGATGTCTAACTCCCTGGGACCGAATGAGTTTAGGAAGAAAATAGGGGCTTTTGAGATGAAATGCTACAGAAAGATTCTCAAATTGCCAGGGACAAAAACGAAAAGTAATACTGCCATTCTAAAACATCTGAACATCAAGAAAGATGAGCTAAAAACAGCCTCATGTCTCGGAAGCTGAAATATTTTGACCATATCAATCCCCACAGTGTAGTGGAAGAAATAATAGCAGAATGCATGTTGCCAGGAAGCAGGGGCAGGGGCCGACCAACATAAAGATGGGCACAGGAAATGTCAAACCTTGGGTATGAAAGGCGAGGTGGGAGAGCTGGCGAGAGACAGAGTTTCTTACTGGCAGACTGTGATGAGAGCGATGTTCTGCAAAAGACCTGCTACATCAGTGGTTCTTAACCTTCCTAATGCCGTGACCCTTCACTACAGTTCCTCATATTCTGGTGACCCCCCAGCCGTAAAATTATTGTTGATGCTACTTCATAACTTTAGTGAATCTGTCTTTTTGGATCGTCTTAGATGACCCCTGTAAAAGGACCCAAAGGGTCATGTCTCACAGGTTGAGAACCGCTCTGCTACATATTGAGGATTGTAAGTTTAATTCTGTCTGCTGTTAATCAAAGTATGTATTTTTTATGCTTATTTACTTTCAACAAAATATATTTCAGTTTCTTCTGCTGCACTTCACCATGGGCAATTCTTTGTCACCGTCTTCCAAGTTCAGCCGACATAATCATAGCTACAGCAAGCTTGAATTTTACAAAAAGGTGAAATCCAGCCATGGAGGAGAGGAACTGTTGAGTTGTTCGTTTGGCAGCTGGTGTCGGGAGCACAGGCTCATCTGTGGCTTCTCAGATAAGGCCGACTACACCTCAAACCGTCAGTCGCTTCTGCAGTTTAATGGATCTCTCAACAAACCAGACACAACGGAAGGCCGGTTTTTTCGGAGTGGGTTTAGGTATGAACCAGTGCAGACAATGTGCAATTGTAGTGTTATTTTGTCACGATATGATTAAAAAATGCACTAAGTAGTAAAGGACCCTTTTCAACGCTTTCAGGCATATAGGGCTAGACCTGTATTTTATATAGACCAGTCGGCACTTAGCGGGTGATGTGGTCAGAATCATGCCGCCGCCTTCACTTCCCAGGACTGCATCAGGTACCCATCAAACTCTAGGTTGACATCGGAGCCCGGATCATTTTTGAAGAAAGCTCGGTTCCTTCAGCACCCGAACCCACGACCTTTGGATCCGCAGGTGTGCAACTAGCTGCTACAACACGGCGGCTCCCTAAATAATGCAGCTTTTCCTTAATTGCCATGTTCTTATGGCTTTATCCCTAATCCCAGAAATGCTCTAGAAAAAGGGTCATAAACCCTGGAATTTCCTAAAAATCCTTTAACCCCCCCCCCCCCCCTCCTCCCACCTCAAAAAACCATTTGACACTGGTCACTGATACATTTTTTAAGGCGCCCACCCCACCTGTTAATTTGCAAAGGGCCAAGTGTTCCTCTACCGTAAGTAGACATTGAAATTTTCCAGATTTATTTATACATGTAATATTATTTAATCTCAGTTTGCCTCATTGGGGGGGGGGGGGGGGGGGGGTGGTGGGGGGATAGACCCACTACTGCCCTAACAAGGATGTCCTAGTCCTACAAGGCAACTAATTAGGGGTGTTTTCTTCCAAGTCAGAATGCATCTACCTGAGAGACGAGGAACTATCAGTCTGCATACAAATGAGTCACATCTGTAAAATGGATGTGCACATGAAATATAAACTTCTGGAACAAAACCAATGCCCAGAAGTGGACGAAAAACCAGAACTATCCACCAAGAGTTTACAGCTGGTGAACGATAAGAAAAAGAGGAAGACAAATTTGTACTGTTTGATATTTTTATCGTAAATTCTTTCTTTATTTCTGGCTTTACAAGGTCACGTAGTGAGCTGATCATTCACGAGAAAGAGGCTTCTCGTTATGTTCATGTCAAACTGCCGAGAGTGTCGTCCACAGAGATGTCGGCCTATCTCCGTAACAACAGACCCAGGAGAAAACGGAAGAGTATTAGATCAACTCGAGTTGTGGCGTATCATGATAACTTGGTCGTTGTGCAGGTAAATATTTATCATCATCATGTGAATACAACTTTCTGTCAACCAACTTTGACATAGATGATCTTCCATGCCATCATGTTAAACTGTCCAGCGTCTTTTCTCACAGTCTCCCTCTGCCTCTCTTCCCCTCCAACTTTTCTACTGTTATGATTTACTCTAGTTTTCTCCTTCTCATCACATGACCAAAGAATGCAGTCTGTCTCTTTCTGATGTAGGCAGTCAGTTCTCTTCATGAGTCAGTTTCTTTCAAGACATCCTCATTACTCTTGTTATCTGTGCAGGGCATTCTCATCATTCATCTATAAAACCACATCTCTGCAGCTTCCAAATAATTTTTCACTAATAATATTTTCTTGTGTTTAAATTCTTCTCTAGTGCCTGCTGTGTATTGTTGACTGCACTAAATTGGTGGGCGGCCACTTAGGTTCAGAATTGTGTGTACTTTTGTGTTTGCAGTGCTGTCATTTGTGATTGACTGTGCCAACAGTGAGCTGCTGTTCTGGTGCGGGACAGTTTGTGTAGGTACATCTGACTGCTGCTTTGTGCATTTTTACTTTGCATGTACAAGCTTAAAGATTTTGTTGGGACTTTTATTAACTCTTTGAGTCCCATGGAATGCATCATGTGCTAATCGGTTACTACACAGGTAGCCAATTGGTGGGTGGCGCTTTCAGGTTTTAGATTTACAACTGGCCAGTATAAAAATGCAAACTGGCAGTTTTGAATGGTATTTTCTGTTCTTTCTGTTTGATGTCAAACGTTGTGACCATTGGGCCTAGTCGAAAACTGTTGGTTAAAAGCATAAAATCTAGCATGTTAATGAGCTTTACCGAGTTACTAAGTGTCTGTGTGAAAACAGTGTGACCTTAAAGCAGACTTCTTCATACATGCCAACGAGATTCATGACTTTAGAAGCGTCATATTCTTCTTCGCGTTCACCGGCTGTGAACTCCGGCGGAAAGTTCTGGTTGTTCGTCCACCTCTGGACTGCAGTCCTGTTCCAGAACCTGAGTGTTGCGTGTGCATCCGTTTGACAGATCTATATGCAGTCTGTTGTTTCCTTGCCTCTCAGGCAGATGCACTCCGACTTCGAAGGAAGCTCCCAATTAGTCGACTCTTACGACATGATTTTGGGTAGGCAGTGGGTCTATTCTTGTTTTTCCCATAGTAGGGCCCCGGATTCCATACGGGGGAGAAGTCTCATATTTAAATAAAACACGTGTTTATCAGAATTTTCTGAAGCTAGACAAAGAAAGTTACGAAGTAGACTTGTTTCAGTCATTGATAGGTCAAACATTGAGAGATAGCTCTGATATAAACCTCACGCAAAGCCTACAACAATACAAAGTCAGCTGGTACAAATAAAATAAGGCAATATTCTTTAGTGTCAGTTAGGTCTAGTGAACATAGATTATAAAACTTAAGGAAAATTGAGTGCTATATAAAGTTTGTTTATGAAAATACTAATTGTTTTGGAGGTCATTTTTCTTTACCAAAAAAATTGTGCTATGTTAAGATGTTCTAAAAGTTTCTCTGGAATGAGATCTAATGGTCATATTGTGTTTATATTTTATTTATACGTTACTAAGTGGTTCATGTTAATTTGTGATTCATTTTGGATATATTTTAATCAAGTCTTCCTTGAGTGTCGTGGGGGTAAGTGGACAAATTATTATTTCTTACTAGAAGGGCAGAATGTTAGATAGGCCTACATGCCCACTTCTCGACCCTTTGAAAATAAACTTTGTTCGTTCGTTCATTCATTCATTCTTCCTCTTGAGCCTCTGCCTCCTGCTCCCCCTCCTACTCCCCCCCCCCCACTCTTTCTTTGTGTTCACTGGTTGTAAACTGTAGTGGAAAGTTCTGGTTGTTCATCCACTTCTGGACTGACAGCTTGTTTCTGATGTGTTCTGCTAGTGTTGCCTGCATATCTGCTTTAGAGAGCTGGCTTATTGTCTGTACAGACTGTTGGTTCCTCACCTCTTTTGAAGGAAGCACAGCTAATGAACCTTCTTTAACAACATGCTGATTGCCCGAGGGGGGAGGGGATTGTAACAACATCATCATTATGTTATATTTCACATAGTGCTCACAGTTGTTTCTTCTATTCCATTGTATCCTGTGCACTTGTTTCAGCACCATAGAATCCAGACTACCACCTTTGGCTTCTCTCATCAGTGTTGGCATTTCTTTCGAATGTCCCCACCTCCCCCAATACATTTGTTTCCCATTGAAGTGCCTGTTTTGGGATTCTTTGGTCACTTGTGCTCAGGATAAGTGCAATATATCATCATCATCATCTACGTCTTATACGTGTAGATACCACCAGCTGTCCAGATTTAATAGCATTTTCATCATCGTTTGTGGGCCTTTAGACGTCACATAGGGCTCGCATTCAATTCCTCCATTTCCCTCTATTGCATGCAGCTTTCTCAATTTCTGACAGGGAGTTCAGCCCAGCATTTTTTGTCTCTCATAATAATGTTCTTCTTAATGTTTTCCTTGGACGTCCTCTTTTTCTCTCTCTGACCGTTTTTTTCCCCGTTTCAGTGCCTGTTTTGCAATTCTTTGCTCCTTTCATCTCAGAGTGTGTCCAGTATGTCTCCACCTTCTTTATCTTTTTGCAATTGATACAGGTATTTGTCCAGACATTTCTCTGATCTTCTCACTCTTTTTTTAATTCATTCCATTTTATGTTCATGATTTTTCTCAGACATTTATGTTCAGATGCATTGAACTTTTGTTCCATATCATGGGTGGTTCTCTAACTTTTGCTGGCATATGTTAGACCTGAAGTCAGACTTGATAGCCTTAAATAATCAATAATTATGATAAATTGTCGGTGCTTTATTAATATCTTACCCCGAACAGGGGAAATCCTCAGGTCATGGGACAGTCTAATATTTCAGGGTGTGGTAGATAGGCTGCATGATGGGTTAGGAAAAGGGCCAGTTCTAGATGTTTTGGGATCATTAAAAGCATCAGAAAGCTGGGAAACCCAGTCTTACCACCCTCTAAAATGTTAAACTGTCATGTGTCGTCATCTGGGGTAGGATATTAATAAAGCACCAAATTGTCTACTTACAGGTGAGTTCTGACAGACATGCACCATTTGCAAAGTTCTACATGATAAACTTAGAAACCCCTACTTGCTGTGGCCATTTTATCGTCTGCAACAACTTGCGTCGATGGTACGAGGTGTATGTGTCACCAAGCTCTACCCATATTGTGCTGCGTCCCGACGTGCGCTATCACTTTCAGGCAGCAGTGTCTTACCATATTCAGGTGTGGTACAAACATTTTTTCTAGCAAATATATATATATGTTTTTTTTTTCAACATCGTTCTTCCGGTGTGGATTCCAAGGTTTCCATGGTGGGGGAAGAAGAATTGATCCACCGTCTCCCTAGCAGGCACATGTCGGAAAGGTCTGGTTGTTCATCCACCTTTGGACTTTTGTTTTGTTACAGAACCTGAGTGTGGCATGCACATCTGTTAACAACATATCTGACTTATTTGTATGCCTCTCAGGCAGATGCACTCCGACATAGAAGGAAGCACCCGGTTTGTCAACTCTTACCACATGCTTGTTGGGGAGGCAGTGGGTCTGTTCTTGTCTTCCCCACAATGGGGACCTGGAACCCACACAGGGAAACCTAGGATTTGATCCTGGGTCTCCTGAAAGAGATCTGTGTGTTTTTAACTGCTTGGCAAGCTGCTCTTCAGCATACCAATAAAAAATAACCACTCAACAGACATTTTAGGGATATTATTTCACCATATTATATTTTAACCCACAGAGCCTGTGTGTGCAGAAATGTCAGCCTGGCTGCTTATCAGGGAATAACATAAAATCAAACACAAAAATTATACCAGGCAAACTGTTGCAGAATCCTTGTCTATTTTATTTTTATTCCTTACTGCCTTTTTTCCCTATCAAGCCCTCTTATGGACACCGGAAGGGAAGAGAAAACAAGGAAGACCAAGAGACTCTACATAGAGCCGGCCGTCATAAGAGAAGGCTCAACCATGGGCTTAACAAACATCCAAGACCTAAAGCAGGTGGCAGTGAACCGCCAGACATGGAGAGCTATGATCTCTACCCTATGCGCCTCCCTAGCTCCAAGAGAAAAGACTAACTAACTGCCTTTTTTTGCTACCAGGTGTCCCCGTCATATTAGAACATATCCGTCTCTTCACTTATCAATTCTACACCCTCAGCTTCAATCATTATTGTCATAAGAATATTCTCATCCTCAAATTTAAAAATGAACTTCATAACATAAACATCACCTTTACCATCTGAAATTAATCGTGGCAAACATGACAAGATTATAAATGGCTTTTTGTTTAAGTTTATTTTTTTATTTGACTTTACTCGCTCTTCAACATATATATGATTACACATTGGGCACTCCTCCGAATAACGGCCCCAAATTATCTAGGTCACAAAACAACCCTTACAGGGCCTCGGTGATATGTAAAATTAGGATTTATTTCCGGCAAATATGGCAGGCAGGCCATCAGCTTTGACACAGATTAGCAATAATTTTCTACCGACTGATGATGTGGCAGTTGTAGAGGTTTTCTGCCTCAGGGTTAGGTGAGGGGTTAGTTTCAATAGTTATACTAGATGACCTCCTGAGGCCCTGTACGGGTAGGGTTTTGACATTCGAGAAAAATTAAAATTTTTTAATAAACCAAATGAATGACTATGGAAATTTATTCAACTACTATTTGTTTGACCTAAACTTAATACTTCATAAAAATTGATATTTATTTGTCTAACTCCTAATCTTCCTAGACAGGGGTCTGTATGACTGCTCTATAGAGTAACCTAATTCCCTCCAGAGCCTCTAGTATAAACCCTTTCCTAGCTTTGCTTCTATTGGTTCTTTTAAGTCAAAACCTGTCCGATTGGACCTGTTTTTTTATATAGTCTGTAGCCTTTTGGTTGGACCAACTGTCTTTTTATATAGTTGTTCTAAGCCTTTTCAAGAAGCTTTGAGGAATGTATTATGAACACTTCTATTGCGCCACGAGGAAACAATGGTGGTAATAGATTTTGAAAACATCTCCACAACAACCTATTTATGTGTACCTATAGGCTGAGTAAATGGGTCAAATTACAAGTTTCCGACTTTAGGAAGGTTCTAGAAGAAAGCGGTGAAGGCTGCTATAAGCATGTTGATGTTCAATCTATTTAATTATGTGATTATAGCGAGACACCACTGTTACAAAACAAACAGAAGTGAACTTAGTAAAAGCCTTTAAAAAGGTGTAAATTCAAGTGAGATAAAAATCTTAAAGTGCTAATTAGAACCTGTACTGGGGGTATGGAAAAAAATCAACACTAAGCAGACACTAAAAGTCATTCGGCCTTATATCCTCAGGCTTAGAATGCCTGTTCTACACCACCGTAAAAAGTATTCACAATTTGTTTTTCATTAAGATTTCCAGGTGATTGTTCTTTTCCTGTGTAATAAATGCCCATTGGGGAAGATACTAACCTATCCTAGGAAGAGGAAATGCAACCTGAAAACTTCATGTTATGGCATTGCAGACCAAACCTTTAGCCTTAGCTGGCAGGGGGTCATGGAGGGAAGCACTGAAGGGCCGACAGAAAAGGCTCTGCTCTTCTGATCCTGCAGCTTCTGCAGCATGCTTTCTTCCAAACACATTGGTATTACCTTTCCATTGGAAGTAAACAAGGCAGGTCAAGCAAGAGATCATGATGCATGGGCAACACAGGGTCTTTACAGTACTGCCCAGGCTTTGTGCTGCAGGGATGAGGAACTTTCTTCCTGTGCCTCCACAAAGCACAATATGAATGCCTGTGTGTACCCGTGCTTCATAACCATGGGCACAGCAGACTTCGTCAACATATGTTCAAACTTTTCAGTGTAGGAAAAACATGGAGACATGTCTCTGTAGCCTGGCACCCGAACATGCTGAGCTTGTGCTCCAACACTGTCAACTGTATGCTGACAACAGAGATGCGTCTGACCTGTTCCAACCACAATGAAGACGAAGCTGTTTGATACACGAGAAGATACGGACTGCGTGATAGATTTCATAAAGGCTACCGGATTCCTGATATTGTTTTCTGACAGACCAAAGAAGAAGAAGAAGTTTAACTCTTTAAACGCCACAGTAATTCCACACATAACAACACTATCGTTTACAAAGATCCAAATGCCAGCAAAAAAGTGCCAGCAACAGCAATAATTCTTCTTCTTCTTCTTCGCGTTCACCAGCTGTAAACTCTGGCGGAAGGTAAATCAAAGGTTTCTTAGCAAAAGAGAAATTGGCAAGAGGACACAAATGGCTGTTTACCACTCTAACTATGTGGGTGTGTGTCATGAGCAATGACAGCAGCACACAGAAGCCAGCTTCAGTCCTCAGAAGTGAGATATCTGAAAAAGGTGGTCCCCAGGTGACAAGAATGGACATAGTCTGCAATTAGACAATACGTCAAGATCTTGATATCCATTCCTTACAAACCTGAGAGGATCAGTCACAGTTAGGAAGGTAGGGGGAATACTCGAGGGTCACCAGAAAACCGGGAGAAGCCAGACACTCGGAGAAAACAAGGTTCTCAAGGATTGGGAAATGCCTGATCCTTTGCCACGTGGAACCCAAGGAGAATGACCACGTGTTGCCACGTGGAGCCCAACACTTGGCTATGAGGTCAGACCACGTTCTGATTAGACAGTATGTGTTTGCCAGTGTGAGTGTGAGGACGTGTTTGTGATTCCGTATGAATGTGAAGAATACTTGACGACGAAAGAGAATACTTCAAGACGACAGTTCGAACATCATTCTCAGCAATGAACCAGCTACGCAGGTAATCAACAGCTACTACTCAGAGTTAGCGGCGAGAGACCACGAGGAAAACGGCCGAAGTCACCTGTCCAGAGATGTGGCGCGTTCTGAGTGTTGACATCTGAATACAGGTGTGATTGAATGTTGGACTTGGTAAAGGATTAGGGAACAAGTACTCGACATATTCGTAAGTGCATTATTGTCAATAAACATTGTTAGAAGATGTCTCCTTTGCTTATAACATCGGTGCATTGCTGGTTATAACATCTGTTTGAGCACACCCTTAGACAACAGCCAAAGACACAAGCAAAGGAATATTGCATATGGTTTGGACATACATGCAGAATGGGAGGAAATTGGCCACCATTGGAGGCTAAGAACCAGGGAACCAGACCTCCATGGTGGCCCAGGGTCTGCTGGGAAGACAACAACTTCCAACAGTCCCCAACTGACAGAGCACTGGAATGGACCAAAGCCAGAAAGAAAACAGCTGATAGAGACGTCTGGCAATCTTTCTGGCAAACCTCTACATCCCAAGGCAGAAGAGGAGTGACTAAGAAAGTAAAATGACATAGGATTGATGGGCAGAAAAGCTGCAGACCAGCACAGTGAAGGACTGTCACTTTCTCCAGCTTTCACCACATACACCTTTCTTGGTTAATGACTAATCTTTTAACTGATCACATATATCCTTGTTTTTTTCTTCAGGTATACAAGCTAGATGACTGGTCGTTGGTATCCCAGCACAACCTAATGGTTCCCCATGCAAGCATTCAACAGATCAGGTCAGTACCTGTTCTATGTTCTTCTCTTTGTTCCTCCTGCCAGTGGTTTTCAGGTGAGAAGGTCACGTTCCTCTGTGAAGGCTGTAGTGCGATATCGCACGTTCTCCAGTAATAAAGAACAGCATGGTTTCAATCGGAATACTATTAGGCCAGACCTGGTATCTTTTTACTGCATGTAGAGAACATGTCTGCATCAAATGTTTAGTCTTCTGTGATGCCTGACCATATGGAGAAATTTCTGCTTCTGCAATCAGTTGTTTTTTTGTACATAAGGCTAGCGAGCCTGCTGTATTCTTTTTCTCCTTGTTTGTTCTCACCTGTTAGCTCTGGGGAAAAGTCCTGGTTGTTCATCCATTTGAACTTTGGCTTTGAGTTTTGCATGTTCATCCTTTTTACTGACCTGTTTGTGTGCAGTTGGTTGTGTTTTGCCGTCCAGGCAGATGCACTCTTTATTATTATTCACCGGCTGTAAACTTTGGTGGAAAGCTCTGGACTTTGGTCTTATTCCAGAACTTGAATTTTGCATTCAACACTGTTTTACAGATCTGGCTTATTTGTATGCAGACTGTTGGTTCATGGCCTTTCAAGTAGATGCACTCAGACTTTGAAGGAACCTGCCCTAATTAGTCGCCTTAAAAAACATGCTTGTTAAGTAGGCAGTGCAACTATTCTCTCCTCCCCAGACTTGGACCTCGGAACCTACACAAGGAGTTCAAAATTGTAAATACAGTGGTCTTGTTTCTTTTGAGTACCCCCTGTATGAGATTAGTCAATCACAGGCTGACTTACCAGCCACAGTTGAGCCTCAGCACTGACTGTCTCGGCAGCTTCTTCTTCTTCTGCATTCTAACACCCAGTGGAGCATAGGCCCTCAACCAACTCTCACCAAGCCGTTTTCTTTCACTATTGCATGCCGCTTACCTCATGTCCTCCCCATCTTTTTTTTTTTTTTTAACTTTACTCTCCAGCTCCTTTCTCCATGTGTTTTTGGTCTTGCCTTTATTTCTATGCCCCTGTGGGTTCCAGTGCAAAGACATTCTAGTTATATTGTTTTCAGGTTTTCTCAACTTTGTATCCTATCCAACACGAGCATCTTTTTTTTTTTTCACCTCTTGGTCCACTGGAACTTGTTTAGTTCTCTCCCAAAGCTCACAATTCGTGACTCTATAAAAACATATATAATTTCCTCTAAACTGCACAAACACCTGTTAATGAATGTTTGTAGTTTATTAGTAATTGCCTTAATGGTTAGATGCTCACCTGCCAGCCCAAGAGTCTGGAATTTGAAATTATCAGCCTGGTCCATGGCTTGTCCGCCCTCCACAGTATCTTTACACGCAAGCCTATCAGCTTGCTCGTTTCCATGCACACCTCTATGCCCTGGCACGAATACAAATCCCATATATGTCACCCTGTATTACATAAAATGGCACAACAGGATGTTGATGATGATGCCCGAAATTTAGTACTGGGAGATTTCCTGGGATTGGCCTCATCCAGGACTTTTTATGGTGGTACTCAACAGTGTGCATTACCGGCACCTTTGTTTTAAGGCATATTTTTATAGCTACTGTGATAGACACACTGTGGTGAGCAGTGACACCCTTTGTAGATACTTTATGGTGGATACCGACAAATTATTTTTAGGAAAAAAAAAAAACCACATCAGTATGAAGTGAAGATTAGTTTAAAAATAGAAAATAGGACTGTACTGAATATGCCTCATAATGTGAAATTAGTTTCTTTACATGTCTTCTCTTCTGCCTTTCTATCCCCATGTGGAGCATAGGCCCTCAACCAACTCACGCCAAGTCGTTCTATCCTTTGCCATTACATGGAGCTCTCCCCATCATTTTAACTTAATTCTACAGCTCTCTTCTCCATGTGTTTTTGGCCTTCCTTTATTCCTATGCCCCTGTGGGTTCCAATGCAAAGGCATTCTAGTTATGCTGTTGTCCAGTTTTCTCAGTGTTTGTCCTATCCAACGCCAGCGTCTTTTCCTCACCTCTTGGTCCACTGGAGCTTGCTTAGTTCTCTCCCAAAGCTCTACATTGGTTATTCTATCATAACATTTAATTCCTTCTCACACACCTGTTTTTATTTCAAATGTATCTGTTAGCTTTCCCTCTTCTTAACATGTGTTTTTTTTTGTTATATTTAGGTCAAGTCCTTCAGGAGATTCATGTTTTTTTTGTTATATTTAGGTCAAGTCCTTCAGGAGATTACCTGGCCATCCGCTACATTTTTCCTGCCGCAGGTTGTCACTACAATAAAATTCTGGTTCTCCACTACCCAGAGTTCACTGAAGTGCTTCAGGTAAATTTGATTCTCGTTGATGCTGTTTATGTTTATTCAACGGATCAGCATCATTACACACCGGTGTAACCCAAAAGTGCTTCGTTCTACTTCTAACTTCAGCCTGAACATTTTAGCGCAGTGCACGAACTACATTGCACCGGCGAGGATCCGGAAACACTTTAGGTATATTTTTAACTGGGCAGTGCCGTTAGGCTACTCTTTTTCGATTTTCAACTGCCAAGAGATTTTTTATGTGTGTAGCAATACACACGGGCGTCAGGTCTTACTACCCAGAGACCAGGGGAAATTACTTGTAGTGTGTGCACACGTGGCTTTGTGTTAAGAGGCAGAAGATATGCATGGGGGTTCATAGTAGCACTGAATGGATGACCGTTAGTGCAGTAAAGCCTAGCATATGACAACACTTTTTTTGTGCCTTTTAACCCCCAATGGAGCATGGGCCCTCAACAAACTCATGCCAGGTTGTTCTGTCCTATGTGAAAATACTACCGCTAGTTTGAGAATAGAGGTGGAGGTAGTCAGCAGCAGTTTCCGCTAGCTCGAGAACTAGCTGTACACACAAGTCATTGATTACAACAGACTCACAAAGTATGCTGAGAAAGGTGGAGACAGGTATGCTGCATGCATTCTGGCAAGCATTGCTTTAGAGGTCTCGGGTAGTTTGTGTAGTTTGGATAGATTCTTTAGGTGATGCAGACGTGTTTGGAAACAAATGGGCAGACAGACTGGCTGGTTCTGCACCTGCACTCATCATCATCATGTAGCAGGTCCAAGAGATCAGACCGACACTCAACACTCATTCACATGTTGTAATTGTAACTCTGAAAGCATGCTGAGAAAGCTAAAGGCAGGGGTGCTTCGAGCAGAGTGGCAAGCTTCACTGGGAAGGTCACAGGTAGTGAGCATACTTTGGATCTTTTCTCCAGGCCATGCCGGTGTAGTGGGTAATGAACAGGCAGACAGATTGGCTGGATCTCCATCACTGGGTGGTGAATTGATACATGACAAGGCAGATGAGGGTCAAGGCCCTTTGGGAACAAGCAACGGAATCAGTAGAGAAAACAGATTATTATGGCCTGCGGAGAATGAGGTACTGGGTGTAACCAGAGGGTCTGGCCGGCTCATTACACTCAAACTTCAGAGAAAAGGCAAGACAGACATGTAATCAGATTATGATCGGTGTCATCAGTATTGGAACTATGCGCTGACTGCTGAAGATGAGGACAGAGCACACATGGAATGCCCCGAGTGCTGTGATGTCAATTCTTGACTCAACTCAACTCAACACTCAGAGGGAAAGGCAAGACAAGCATACAGTCAGAAAGTTACAGGCACTTTCAGAATGGGAACTGTGCGCTGGCTGCTGAAGACGGAGACAGAGTGCTTGTGGAAGTTTCCTGATTGCTATAATGTCAGTTCTTAATTCAGCTCAAGCAAGATATTTGTACAGATGATAAATACCTTTATGCTCCATAAAGGTAAAGGTGAGAGGCTTGACTTCATTGCACCGGGTTTTATCCCATTGGATAGTGGGGCTTCAAAATAACAAAATATTGTCCCACAAGGGTGACGATATCCATATACATAAAATCTTGGAAGCCCTGTTCAGCCAGATAGATGTTTCAACCTCTGAGCAGTACTAAATGTTACATTATCTGAATATTGTAATTTTGTGACATCGAGTTTAACAGAATTGCTACTGTCTACAAGGAGCAGCTGGCCTAACAGAATGCTGGCCTCTAAAGCGAGTGATCCTCGGTAGGGCTGGGGATTTTTTATGTGCGGGGGGCACACGCAAAAATCCTCACCTGCACAGTCCTGACTTGCCATGCAGCCGTAAATCTTCAGGCTCAAAGACCCTTTGGCTTGCATTGCAAAAGTGGTAAAATAAAGGCAGTAATTGGTACTCTTTTGGCAGTCGGCTACTATCTACATATTTTGTGTGTGTTTGTTCTGTTTTCATGACTGGTTAACTGTTAGTTGGGCCATGAAACAAGTTTCACTGTTTTGATGGGCCACAATGTTAAAATGGTTGAGAAACACTGGCTTCAGGAAAATATCCTAAGTGGTGTGATCTCGAATGTCTTAACTTGATGTGAGGAAAGATCAACTTGGGAACGATGATATCAGGGGGAGAGTCGGCACAGAACCAATACTGACTGTATAGGTAGACATCAAATCAAATGATTTGACAGACATACAGACAGGGGACTGCAGTGAGCAGTGTTAAACAGATACAACGGTGGCAGAACCAGAGCTCGACTACGCAAAAGATGGACTGCAGAAAAATCAGACACACTGAAAAGTACTTTTATGAAGCGAACAGAAGGGCCTGTTCCAGAGATCTCTTCCTGCCCTGACCCCGCAAGACTGTCAGGTGTGGAGAAAAGAAGAAGAAGAAGAAGAAGAACATGCGAAAATAGGTCCTTGTTTGCTTTGTTTCTTACAGGCTGACTGTTTTACCTCCCTTAGGTTGATGTCCGAGGTGCTTACTGGCCCGTGTCCGAACTGGTCAATATGCAAGTCTTCCCTCGCTTTTCTCTCAGCGAATCCTGTTTTGTCGTCATGAAACAGCACAACTATGGGCGCAGGTTTTTGTCTACAAACTTCCGAATGAGCTGCGGTCTTTACAAGATCTGTGTCGAAAAGCCATACTTCATCTAGTCACTTCCAAAGATATTCCAAAACTGCCACTTCCTTTGACTGTTAAAAAGTATCTTACCCAGCATGCTGTTTAAATGCAAAGATATGAAACAATTTTGTTACTGTTTGTAAAATATTTTTAAATTCATATGCTGTGTTATATTTTAACTAATTTTAGTCAGAACATTATACACCTACTGCTAAATAGTCCATTTTTAATGTTTTATATTTTGTATATATTCAGTTTTAATCTGATTTGACTGTGAGATAGTCTTATCTCTGCATTTTATACTTTGTTTGAATGTTACCAATTTTAGAGAGTTATGGCTGTAAATCATTATTTTAATGTGTTTGATTGTCACCATCTTTACAATTGAATATTTGGGCAGTATTATTCACCCATTATTTTACTTTCTGTGAATGTCACCATCTTTAGACCCAAGCAACACACAATGCGTTTGTTGAGCTCTCCCACTTTATATACTCTTCTTCTTTCTTCTTTGCATACACCAGCTGTACTCTGGTGGAAAGTCCTGGAAGTTGGTCCCCTTTGGACTGCAGTCCTGTTCCAAAAGTTGAGTTTTGCATGTTCATCTGTTTTACAGATCTGACACATTTGTGTGCAGACTGTTGGTTCCATGCCTCTCAGGCAGATGCTCTCCGACTTCGAACGAAGCTCCCAATTAGTCTACTCTAATGACATGCTTTTGTGTAGGCAGTGGGTCTATTCTTGTTTTCTCTATAATAGGGTCCCAGAACCCACACAGGGGACTTTATATACCATTCTTCACCTTCTGTAGTTCCCCATCCTGTTTGGTTTGAACAACAGATCAGCATCATGGCACAACGGTAGTAGCCCATAAGTGTTCCATTCTACTTGTAACTCAAGCCTGAGTCCGAAGAATCTCAGCGCAGTGCACGAACTCTGTAGCACCGGCAAGGATCCTGAAATACTTTTTTGGTAGATTTTTTACTCAAAATTTTTTCAGTGTTGCTCCTCAATTCTTACACATAATGAACTTTTTTGTCTCTTTCCATCATGTTAAGTTACTGTCTTGATAACTATTTTGTGTTTTGCTCTTTAATTCTTACATGTTGAACTTTTTTTGTCTCTTTTTTGTATGCAGACTGTTAGTATCTTGCCTCTTAGGCAGATGCACTCAGACTTCAAAGGAAGCTCTCAATTAGTCGACTCTTTACCACCCCAGAAATTTCACTTCTGAACCTTGCCTCTCTAGAATGTTCTGTGTTGAACTTTGCCTCTCTAGAATGTTCTGTGTTGAACTTTGCCTCTCTAGAATGTTCTGTGTTGAACTGTGCCTCTCTAGAATGTTCTGTGTTGAACTTTGCCTCTCTAGAATGTTCTGTGTTGAACTTTGCCTCTCTAGAATGTTCTGTGTTGAACTTTGCCTCTCTAGAATGTTCTGTGTTGAATTTTGCCTCTCTAGAATGTTCTGTGTTGAACTTTGCCTCTCTAGAATGTTCTGTGTTGAACTTTGCCTCTCTAGAATGTTCTGTGTTGAACTTTGCCTCTCTAGAATGTTCTGTGTTGAACTTTTGCCTCTCTAGAATGTTCTGTGTTGAACTTTGCCTCTCTAGAATGTTCTGTGTTGAACTTTGCCTCTCTAGAATGTTCTGTGTTGAACTTTGCCTCTCTAGAATGTTCTGTGTTGAACTTTAGCTCTCTATAATGTTCTGTGTTGAACTTTTGCCTCTCTAGAATGTTCTGTGTTGAACTTTACCTCTCTAGAATGTTCTGTGTTGAACTTTACCTCTCTATATTGTTCTGTGTTGAACTTTTGCCTCTCTAGAATGTTCTGTGTTGAACTTTGCCTCTCTAGAATGTTCTGTGTTGAACTTTGCCTCTCTAGAATGTTCTGTGTTGAACTTTGCCTCTCTAGAATGTTCTGTGTTGAACTTTGCCTCTCTAGAATGTTCTGTGTTGAACTTTGCCTCTCTAGAATGTTCTGTGTTGAACTTTGCCTCTCTATAATGTTCTGTGTTGAACTTTAGCTCTCTATAATGTTCTGTGTTGAACTTTTGCCTCTATAGAATGTTCTGTGTTGAACTTTAACTCTCTAGAATGTTCTGTGTTGAACTTTACCTCTCTATATTGTTCTGTGTTGAACTTTTGCCTCTCTAGAATGTTCTGTGTTGAACTTTACCTCTCTATAATGTTCTGTGTTGAACTTTGCCTCTCTAGAATGTTCTGTGTTGAACTTTGCCTCTCTAGAATGTTCTGTGTTGAACTTTACCTCTCTAGAATGTTCTGTGTTGAACTTTTGCCTCTCTAGAATGTTTTGTGTTGAAATTTTCTATCCCAGAATCTTTAGTGTCCAGTTATGCTGTTATGTGTCACATAGGGCTCGCAGTTATTTCCTCCTGTCCCTTCTGGCTTGTGCCGTCCTGTTGACATCATGAAGGGAATTCAGTTCAACCTCTCTCATCAGTGTTTGTTGTAAGTTTTCTTTGGACATCCTCACTTCCTGCTTCTTCTTCTTCTTCTTCTTCTTTCCTCTCCTAATGGAATGCCTTGCAGCATCTGGGCAGGAAGCGATCTCTGGAACAGGCACTTCTGTTCGCTTCGTATAGAGTACTTTTCAGTGTCTCTGATATTTCTGCGGTCCATCTTCTGGTTCTGTTACCGCTGTGTCTATACACCACTGCTCTCGGTGGTGCTTTGTCTGATGCCAGTCTTGTTACATGGCCAAACCATTTGATTTGTTGTCTAAAGTTCAAGATTGGTTCTGTGTCAACTCTCCTCCTGATATCATCGTTCCTGAGTCGATCTTTCCTCGTTACATTTAGCAAAGTACGTAAAAATGTAATTTCTGTCGTGACTGTTGTCCCTCTGAAGACAGTGTCAGTGTCTGACATTGATATCACAGTGTTGGTAAAAATATTGTTTGTATTCACTTGCTTGCATTTCAATACCGGTGCTTCATCAATCCTTTTATTTCTTATTTTGGTTCCTGCTTAATAATTCTCTGCTGGTTTCTTCTCAGGGTGTGTCCAATGTAACGCCATCCTCTCTGTCATGTACCTGTTGTTACTAGTGGTCACCCAGACATTTCTCTCATGTCTTCACCCCATTTTTATGTTCAACATTTTCTTTGGTCATTTCTTTTCAAAGGCTTTTTATCTTTAATTCTATATCTTTACTGGTTCTCCAGTTTTCACATTCATATGTTAAAATTTGTTGGTGTTTGTGGCTTGGGCGTTGCAAACCAGCTTAATAATACCGGGGTGCAGGGTATGATCCCAGCTGCGGACCTTGCATTGGTTTCAACAGGGGTATCGAGAAGCCGACCTTCCAGAAAGCAGTGGCAAAATACTGGACGTAAATTTGCCTAGAAAAACCACAACAGCAAAAAAAAAAAATGCTGGGGTTGGTTCTGCATTGTCCTACAAAGGATATGCAACTAACAAACAAATGTTAAAATTTAAGTATTAGAATTGAAATGTTGAACTTAACTGCTTCAAAATATTCGTTGTCAAATTTATAAGTTGTAAGTCACTTGTAAGTTTTTTGACTGTTTACCGTTGGATTCTTCTTCTTCTTCGTCTTCTTCGCTTTCACCAGCTGTAAACACTGGTGAAAAGTTCTGGTTGTTCGTCCACTTTTGGACTGCAGGTCCTGTTCCATAACTTGCGTGTGCATCTGTTTGACAGATCTGACTAGTTTGTATGCAGACTGTTGGTTCCTTGTTTCTCAGGCAGACACTCTGACTTTGAAGGAAGCTTCCAGTTAGTTTACTCCTATGAAATGCTAATGAATTATAGGTAGACAGTGGGTCTATTATTTGTCCCGTTATAATAGGGCCCCGGAACCCACACAAGGACTTTACCTCTTCACTAGAATGTATTACTGCTCTTCCAAAGCTCAGCATTAGTGGTTCTATCATTCTTTTTAATTCCCTCTCTTCTGCACAGGCAGAATTATTAATGAATGTTTGAACTCGGTTAGTAACCATTTTAGTTGTTCTCCATGTTTCCACTACATCCAGCAGTACTGATTTAACATTAGAATTATAAATGTTAAGTTATTAGTTTTAATTTCCTTTGAATTTTGCTTACGTCCCCAGTGTTTGTGATGCCGTGTTAAATGAATCTCAGCAGTATTCTGTTGATATGTGAGAAACAATATCATATGTAAATACAATTGTTAAATACCTATGTTCGTGTACAGCTTTGTTAGCATTGCTAGTGTTGTGTGTTGGCTGGATGGGTTACCTGTAGAGTGTGAGGTGTTCTGTGTTGGCTGTATGGGTTACCTGTAGAGTGGGAGGTGTTTTGTGTTGGCTGTATGGGTTACCTGTAGAGTGGGAGGTGTTCTGTGTTGGCTGTATGGGTTACCTGTAGAGTGGGAAGTGTTTTGTGATGGCTGTATGGGTACCTGCTGGGAGGTTTCTGTGTTGGCTGTATGGGTTACCTGTAGAGTGGGAGGTGTTCTGTGCTGGCTGTATGGGTTACTTGTAGAGTGGGAAGTAATCTGGTAATCTGGTAATGCTAGCTTCAGCTTCATAGCAAACGGGTCACCCCATAGTTGCTCACAGTGTCACACCATGCACTCAACTCAGAAGCTGGGCGATGAAACTATATCCTTCCAGTCTACAAATGTAGCAAAAATGCAACGGCCACTGTCTGGCAGAAGCAAAGAAAAAAAAATTTGCCACTACAAAAAAAAAAGTGTCTGTGCCTAGCGTCCATTTTGACCTGAAGCATTATATGAGGGTTAATAAACGGTCACCCTAGCAGTACCCTCACTATTAGCTGGGGAAGGGACTTAGGACATTACATCCACCAACAGGCGTCGTCCCTACAACGACCGGACTGCCTTCGTTAACGACTGTTCACCCAACAGCCATGCAGTTCTTTGGCACAAAACGAGACACCTTGAACTTGGGTTTCGGACTGGTGACTCCCTACAAGATGTTATTTTATGTTTTGTTATCACAATCAGCGTCACTGCACATTGGGCATACCCATGCATGCTCAGTCCTCTGAAGCAGCAGCCACTCCAAAGTACTTCTACTAATTGTTCCCATGAGAAGCTGGTTATATTGTCTCCTTTCTCGGCCTTGAAGACGGCAAA